TCTCAGCCCAAAATCTCCTGAAACTGATAAGCAACTTCAGCAAAGTCTCAGGATACAAAATCAATGTGCAAAAATCACATGCATTCCTATACACCAATAACAGACTTAAAGAGAGCCAAATCAAGAACAAACTTCCATTCACAATTGCCACAAAGAGAATAAAATACCTAGGAATACAACTAACAAGGAACGTAAAGGACCTCTTCAAGGAGAACTACAAGCCACTGCTCAACGAAATAAGAGAGGACACAAACAGATGGAGAAACATTCCATGTTCATGGTTAGGAAGAATCAATATCGTGAAAATGGCCATACTGCCCAAAGTAATTTACAGATTCAATGCTATCCCCATCAAGCTACCAATGACCTTCTTCACAGAACTGGAAAAAACCACCTTAAACTTCATATGGAACCAAAAGAGAGCCCGCATAGCCAAGTCAATTCTAAGCAAAAAGAACAAAGCGGGAGGCATCACACTACCAGACTTCAAACTAAACTACAAGGCTACAGCAATCAAAACAGCATGGTACTGGTACCAAAACAGAGATATAGACCAATGGAACAGAACAGAGGTCTCGGAGGCAACGCAACATATCTACAACCATCTGATCTTTGACAAACCAGACAAAAACAAGCAATGGGGAAAGGATTCCCTGTTCAATAAATGGTGTTGGGAAAGCTGGCTAGCCACGTGCAGAAAGCAGAAACTGGACCCCTTCCTGACACCTTACACTAAAACTAACTCCAGATGGATTAAAGACTTAAACATAAGACCTAACACCATAAAAACCCTAGAAGAAAATGTAGGCAAAACCATTCAGGACGTAGGTGTAGGCAAGGACTTCATGACCAAAACACCAAAAGCATTCACAACAAAAGCCAAAATAGACAAATGGGACCTAATCAAACTCCACAGCTTCTGCACAGCAAAAGAAACAATCATTAGAGTCAATCAGCAACCAACAGATTGGGAAAAAATTTTTGCAGTTTACCCATCTGACAAAGGGCTGATATCCAGAATTTACAAAGAACTAAAACAGATTTACAAGAAAAAAACTAACAAGCCCATTCAAAAGTGGGCAAAGGATATGAACAGACACTTTACAAAAGAAGGCATACGTGAGGCCAACAAACATATGAGAAAATGCTCATCATCACTGGTCATCAGAGAAATGCAAATCAAAACCACATTGAGATACCATCTCACGCCAGTTAGAATGGCAATCATTAAAAAATCTGGAGACAACAGATGCTGGAGAGGATGTGGAGAAATAGGAACACTTTTACACTGTTGGTGGGAGTGTAAATTAGTTCAACCATTGTGGAAGACAGTATGGCGATCCCTCAAGGACCTAGAAATAGAAATTCCATTTGACCCAGCAATCCCATTACTGGGTATATATCCAAAGGATTACAAATCGTTCTACTATAAGGACACGTGCACACGAATGTTCATTGCAGCACTGTTTACAATAGCAAAGACCTGGAACCAACCCAAATGCCCATCGACGATAGACTGGATAGGGAAAATGTGGCACATATACACCATGGAATATTATGCAGCCATCAAAAACGATGAGTTTGGGTCCTTTGTAGGGACATGGATGAACCTGGAAACCATTATTCTCAGCAAACTGACAGAAGAGCAGAAGATCAAACACCGCATGTTTTCACTCATAGGCGGGTGTTGAACAATGAGAACACATGGACACAGGGAGGGGAGCACTACACACTGGGGTCAGTTGGGGGGAAAAAGGGGAGGGACGGTGGGGGGTGGGAAGCTGGGGAGAAATAGCAGGGGGAGAAATGCCAGATGTAGGTGATGGGGTAGAAGGCAGCAAATCACACTGCCACGTGTGTTCCTATGCAACAATTTTACATTTTCTTCACATACCTCAAAACCTAAAATGCAATAAAATAAATAAATGGGAAAAAAAATAAAAAATAAATAAAAATAAAATAAAATAAAAATAAAAACAAAACAAAAAAAGAACTTCTGAAAACCTAATAAATAATCCACTCCTTATTTGACACATGATCAAGAAATATTCATAAAAACAGCCAACCAGCACTGTTTGGTGCTGTGCTGTCTATGGACTAAACTTGTTTCCACTTTATAGACTCCCACAGAATTTTTTATTGTGTGCGATCCAAGAACCCTCTCCTGGGATCTGGGTGAGGACCCCTTTCCAGTAACACCTGCAGGGAGCACATCCTGGCCCCTTCCCTGCTCCACTGACTGGAGGCACAGGCCAGGGTAACTTCTCTCTTTGACTTGAATGACCAATGACCCATCTTTGGATTCTCAACACTGGTTAGAATCTTCTGATCCTCACCCTCCACCCATTGCACTCCTGCTCATTCTGAAAGTCTCGCATGAAACCATATTTCTGCAGATTAATCCTCTTTGGCAACTTGCCACCAGCTCTCACTCCCACACCCACATACAAACCCTTTCCAATATGGATCTCTTGTTCTACTCTCTCTCTCTCTCAGCTCCTGCTCAGTGGCTGAAGCAGATTTGGGACCACCAACACACGACTGGTAGTGCTTTGCTTTTGTTTTTAACTAGGAAAATTTTTATAACTCTTTCAGATGAAAACACACGTGGATACTGGGGAAGAATGCAGGGAAACATTTCTCAGGGGCCTTATCTAATGTTTCTGATGCAGGCTGGTCTTTGAGGCCTGCCCCTACCTGTGCACTGAGAGAAGAACAAGAGGAGGAGAGGAGTCCACGCCATGGTGGACACAGCTCCTGACCCCACAGTGGGGCTGGGCTGCCCCAGGCCTCCTTTTCTTCCCACTGTCTGCAGAGGAGGGGCTGCTCATGCAAATATCTTTTCACAGAAGGACTACCCATGCCCTCCTTGAGCCCTGGGACTGGAGCTCAGCTCACACTGCAGCCTGAGGAGGAAGAAATTTGACTTTCCCTCATTGGGAGAGCCCTGGGAGGAAGGACTTGCTGAGACCACACACAGGTCCTTGATCAGGGGACTCTGCCAGGCCAGAAAGGACACAGCTCCTGAGTCCCCATCAGTGACCACAGGACCCAGCTCCCAGCCCCAGGCTTCTTGGAGTATATGGTTCTTACTGAGCTGTGTCCTGTGCTGGCTACAGAGCACACTCTTTTCCATGGCCCAGAGACCTGACTCTGTAGTTCACCATCCATCATCTGGATCCTACGTTCTGTGATCCTGATATGTTGTACTTTATTATTGCAGTTTCTCACTCCCAGAAAGAGTCTTGGTTTATGTGCGGTAAAAACTCATACAAATGTAACTTTTTAAGGTGTTTGTACCCCCAGAGCATATTCTGGAAAAAGTTAAATGGCCCACCTGTGCCATCTGATCAGCATCACAGACACTGTTACAATTGAGGTGGTTTGAAATGTGTGTAGGGGCTGTTCAGGAAATGGCATTGAATGAAAAATTCTCAGGAGATAAGGTTGGTGGCCTTCTTAAAAGATGTGAATTCAGCAAACATTTCACACAATGCTTCAACTCTAACAGCACACAATGCTTTTAGAGTTTTGATAGGGCTTAAATATTCATGGTCTTAGTAGGCATAATATTTACTAATTAACACTATATGCATAATTTTCATTTTATGAAGTGAGCTTTATTTTTTAAAGTTTGTAGTTTTCTAAACCATGGTTCCATACATTTTATATCATTTACATTTAAACACTTTTTTAAAAACCTGTATTTACTTATTCTTTGTTTTGGTTAATTATGAAGCTTAATGAGACATTTTAATGTGTTTGTAGATGTGTTGAATACTTGGACAGGAAAATTTAGAAATCATCACCGCCTCATTATACTCCATATCCAAATTTACTTTAACTGTGTAAATAATACCCCACACATAGGCCCAATTCTCAGTTCATGGGGCCATCCAGTAATAACCTACACACAAAAATCTCCTTCTTTCTCAGGTACTCTCTTCCCAAGTATCCAGAGAGATCTCTTTAAATTCATGGGCAGGTCACCCCATGTATTAAAATCCTGCACTGGCTTCTCATTGTTGTTTGCATAATACTCATACTCCCCAGCTTCCCTAAGGCACATTCCTCCTGGTCTGTCCCCTGCCTGGCTCACAGTCCCTTCAAGACTCACTGGGGTTCCAACCTTATTCACTTCTCTGTTCTGGGAATCCTGAGCTTCTGTCCCTTCCATGATCTCCATACTAGCTACTCCTCTGTCTGTTGTGAGGAGTAGCTGGTATTAAACACCAAATAGCATGGGCTTCAACTGGACATCAGGGTAGAAGCTTATATTCTGTCAGAATTACATCTGTGATAGTGTGTGTGTGTGTGTGTGTGTGTGTAGTAATTTTGAAATTACACAAACTATAGAGACTAGTTGAACAAACTCTTCATAGGTATAGACTAGCCTCAACCATTCCTTCCACCGCTCACGCTAATCTCTCACTGAATGATGTTAAAATGAATTACAAATATTGCAGCACTTCACTGGTTTCTGCTTTACTCTCTCTATATATAACTTTTTCATGTTTTAAAAATTTATAAATGCTTAATGTTTCCAGCCAGACACATCTTGGATTCCTTCCTTTTCCTGCTCTGTACATACACTTACTTTAATTCTTTTCAATTATTCTTTCATTCTGGATTGTAAATCACTAATTTTCCTTCTTCTTCACTGTCACAAATCTAGCAAAATATATTGTCATCTCTGTGTGAATTATTGTCTTTGATGCTTAACTAGTCTCCCAGTCTCGGATGTCACCTCAGTTTATCCTTTAACACACTCTCCACTCTGTACCTAGAGAGCTCACAAATGCCAGATGAGGACACTTCAGTAACTCCCACTGCCCCTGCAATTAGGCTCATGCTTTCTGGGATGTGACATCTTAAAGATACATTCATGTCCTTCCTTTAGATCATCCAAACTCACCTAGAGTTGCTTCCATTGATCCTGTCGTCACTGAGCTCTGCCACACATAGGCCCAATGCAAGCTCTCTTAATAAATATAATGAACAACTAGATACTCTTTTTTTCTTAATTGCATTTTAGGGTTTAGGGTACATGTGAAGAACATGCAAGATTGTTTCTGCTCTTGTGTCAGTTTGCTAAGAATGATGGTTTCCAGGTTCATCCATGTCCCTACAAAGGACATGAACTAATCATTTTTATGGCTGCATAATATTCCATGGTGTATATGTACCACATTTTCCATGTCCAGTCTATCATCGATGGGCATTTGGGTTGGTTCCAAGTCTTTGCTATTGTACACAGTGCTGCAATGAACATTCGTGTGCATGTGTCCTTATAGTAGAGCGATTTGTAATCCTTTGGATATATAACCAGTAATGGGATTGCTGGGTCAAATGGAATTTCTATTTCTAGGTCCTTGAGGAATCGCCATACTGTCTTCCACAATGGTTGAACTAATTTACACTCCCACCAACAGTGTAAAAGTGTTCCTATTTCTCCACATCCTCTCCAGCATCTGTTGTCCCCAGATTTCTTAATGATCGCCATTCAAACTGGTGTGAGATGGTATCTCAATGTAATTTTGATTTGCATTTCTCTAATGGCCAGTGATGATGAGCATTTTTTCATATGTTTGTTGGCCTCATGTATGTCTTCTTTTGTAAAGTGTTTGTTCATATCCGGCACCCACTTTTGAATGGCCTTGTTTGTTTTTTCCTTGTAGATCTGTTTTAGTTCTTTGTAAATTCTGGATATCAGTCCTTTGTCAGATGGGTAGACTGCAAAAAATTTTTTCCCATTCTATTGGTTGCCAATTCACTCTAATGACTGTTTCTTTTGCCGTAAAGAAGCTATGGAATTTGATTAGGTCCCATTTGTCTATTTTGGCTTTTGTTGCCAATGCTTTTGGTGTTTTGGTCATGAAGTCCTTGCCTACGCCTATGTCCTGAATGGTTTTGCCTAGATTTTCTTCTAGAGTTTTTATGGTATAGGGTCTTATGTTTAAGTCTTTAATCCATCTGGAGTTAATTTTAGTGTAAGGCATCAGGAAGGTGTACAGTTTCTGCTTTCTGCATATGGCTAGCCAGTTTTCCCAAGACCATTTATTAAACAGAGAATCCTTTCCCCATTGCTTGTTTTTTTCAGGTTTGTCAAAGATCAGGTGGTTGTAGATATGTTGTGTTGCCTCCGAGACCTCTGTTCTGTTCCATTGGTCTATATCTCCTTTTTGGTACCAGTACCTTGCTGTTTTGATTACTGTAGCCTTGTAGTGTAGTTTGAAGTTTAGTAGTGTGATGTCTCCTGCTTTGTCCTTTTTGCTTAGAATTGACTTGGCTATGAGGGCTCTCTTTTGGTTCCATATGAAGTTTAAGATGTTTTTTTCCAGTTCTGTGAAGAAGGTCATTGGTAGCTTGATGGGGATAGTATTGAATCTGTAAATTACTTTAGGCAGTATGGCCATTTTCACGATATTGATTCTTCCTAACCATGAACATGGAATGTTTCTCCATCTGTTTGTGTCCTCTCTTATTTCGTTGAGCAGTGGCTTGTAGTTCTCCTTGAAGAGGTTCTTTACGTTACTTGTTAGTTGTATTCCTAGGTATTTTATTCTCTTTGTGGCAATTGTGAATGGCAGTTTGTTCTTGATTTGGCTCTCTTTACATCTGTTATTGGTGTACAGGAATGCTTGTGATTTTTGCACGTTGATTTTATATCCTGATACTTTGCTGAAGATGCTTATCAGTTTCAGGAGATTTTGGGCTGAGACGATGGGGTCTTCTAGATATACAATCATATCGTCTGCAAATAGAGACAATTTGACTTCCTCCTTTCCTATTTGAATAACTTTTATTCCTTTTTCTTGCCTGATTGCTCTGGCTCGAACTTCCAGTACTATATTGAATAGGAGTGGTGACAGAGGGCATCCTTGTCTACTGCCAGATTTCAAAGGGAATGCTTCCAGTTTTTGCCCATTCAGCATGATATTGGCTGTTGGTTTGTTGTAAATAGCTTTTATTATTTTGAGATACGTTCCATTGAGACCTAGTTTATTGAAGGTTTTTAGCATAAAGAGCTGTTGAATTGTGTCAAAGGCCTTCTCTGCATCAATTGAGATAATCATGTGGTTTTTGTCTTTGGTTCTGTTTATGTGGCGAATTACGTTTATAGACTTGCGTATGTTGAACCAGCCTTGCATCCCTGGAATGAAGCCTACTTGAACATGGTGGATAAGCTTTTTGATGTGCTGTTGGAATCGGCTTGCCAGTATTTTATTGAAGATTTTTGCATCTATGTTCAACATGGA